AAAAAAAAAAAAAGAAAAAAAAAAGATTGAAATACCATTTGAATCAATCTGCCACTGCAACTGAGTGAGATGGAAGGTGGAGTTTGAGACGGCCGATCGTCTGCAAGTAGTTGTAGTCGTGTGAACATATTCTGTCATGGCCACACGTCCCACATCACTATTCCCTTTCCTATTCCCATCGCTGATGTGGCGCTTTTTGGACCGTCCGATCCGCTTTCTCCTCACTTTTATCGTCTTTGAAGATGGTCTCGTTGCTATGTATGGAGATGATACGCAGGCGCCCATCCTTTGTTGCAACTCTATACTCCAAAAAAATTTAACCTCTGCCAACAAATTGGAAATTGAAGAATTAAGAGTGTCATAGTCTTTTCTCTTAATCATAGAATTACAAGTGAGTAGAATTCTTAAAGACTATCACCACACCTTAGCATGGATTGAAGGAGTAATTGCTTTCTAGTAAAATTTTCAGCTCAAAGATTCATATATCTACACATCCAACTTCTCCCTGAATTGCAAGTACATCAGTTTTTCAAATTTAGCAAGTATAAAAGAGAAAAATAAAATAGTATAGACTCTCAAATCTATTAAAGTTCAATACAATTACATAGAACAGTGCAGATGAGACTTGAATGTATGTGAATGGATCATGATTTGTACTACGCAGGTGAATAATGTTCACTTGTAAAGAAAGATCATTTAACAAATATAGATATATATGACTTATATGGATTCCAATCAATGACAATACAATCCAATTTTGATTATTGATCAACGCACTGCATACTAACAGGACAAAATTATAAATAATCCATCATTGCATATCAGACAAGATCACAAAAATCAGATAAAAAAAAATCGAAAAATTGTTTATATAATTCAATATCACCTACAGAAATCAATAATAACAAGTTGAAAGTTGTGAAGTACCAATTGATGGAAATGAAAAAAAGTTATTATTTCATCAAGAATCAAAAACCAAAAAGGAGTTCCACAGGAGAGTTCATGAAAACAATACAAATTGTATGAAATGCAAAGCAAGTACATTTGTTCCTCACATGCGTATGCTTGATTTTCACAAAGAAAATTGGAACTTCAAGACAAACATAAAAAAATTATATATATTCAAAAATAAATAAAGAACAAAGTTTTACCAAAAAAGAAACATGTGGATTCAATGGTATGGGTCCGGTTTCGCAATTTCAACGTTGCTTTTTATCTCTCTTTCTATAGGCTATAGAAAGAGGATGAGAAATATGGAAAAAGGAAAAAAAAATGACCAATGTTATTTACTGTGTTAAAACTGGTGTATTTCCCCTTCTTTCGCGTTAATATGATAGGTGATGGTTTTTAAGCCTTTTTAGTTTTTACTGATTAAAAAACTAAATATATCCCAAATGTGTTCCTTTTACTTTCCCTTAATCTTCTCGTTATCTCATTTTTTTGGTCCTTTGCCATTGATTATCATTATTATTAGTAGTATTAAGAACGGATGAGTGGTGGTCTGGTCCTTTGGGTGAGGGAGACGTTAGTTTTTGGGACGAGTGGTGGTTTGGTGAGAGCTCCCTTTCGAGTTCTAGACAGGTCACCCACCTTCCCTTTCTGCAGGTGAAAGACCTGTGGACGGATGGGGGATGGGATAGGGATAGGTTAGAGAGGATTCTGGGTAGTGGAGCGGGCTTTAGTGACCAGGAGATAGATGAGATCCAGCAGATACCGATCTCGGAGGGCGGTTTGGACAGTATGAGGTGGAGACTTACATCTTCGAGTGCATTCTCTACGACCTCGTCTTGGGGGGAAGTACGGTTGGGAGACCGGCCTAACCTTCTCTTCGGGGCTATCTGGACCGACCTACTTACCCCGACAATCTCTGTTTTCTATGGCGTCTTCTTCTGCGCTGCCTACCGATTGATACTGTGATGCAGACGAGGGTGTTCTAATTCCCCTCACGTTGTTACTGTTGTGCTAAGACCCGCGCTTTTCAGACTGAGACCTTTAGCCATTTGTTTCTTGAGAGCGAGACTGTGAGGAGAGTGTGGGAGCATTATACCAGTTTCACTCATATATCCCTACCCTCCACAAATAATTTCTTTGAGCTTATGAGTTTCTTCAGACGCAACACACACGATAGACACGTGGCTTCCTTATTTCTTTTCTGATCCTTTGGGCCACCTGGACAGAAAGGAATAATGCGAAGCATAGGGATAACTTTTTTTTTTTTTTTGTCTTCCCATATTATTTTGCAGGTTGATCGACATCTCTCTCTCCTCACTGCTTTGGGCAAACTCACGCATAGAGACTGGACAGGTTGCACACCTCCTCACCGCCTTGCACCACCTCCACTGTCGCCTGTCCAGCACCACGCCCCAGAGCCGTTGTTTGGCTAAGACCCGAGCCTCCTTGGGTTAAGCTGAACATAGATGGATCGTTTGGCCGACTTACCAAAGCCGCCAGAGGTGGGGTTCTAATTAGGGACCATAGCGAGGCTCTTACTACTGCTTTTCATGCCCCTCTTCGGGCCTCCTCGAGCTACGACGCAGAGATTCAGGCGCTTCAGATCGGTCTTCAGATTGCTACCTCGATCTCCTTTCACATTTGGATAGAGTTGGACGCTGCCGCTGCCATCACTCTTTTGACCTCTGATCATCATGGCACATGGCAGATTCAGCATCCGCTCATGCGTATTAGAGCCACAATTCGGTCGATTCGCTTTCAGATCTCACACATCTTCCGTGTGGGGAACCACCCTGCTGACTTCCTCGCAGGCATCGGTCCTCCACCCCCTAGAGAAGCATTCTTTACCCTGACGATATTCCTCGTCGCCTCCGTACCCTTATACGGATGGACCAGATGGGATACCCTTCATTCAGATTGGGGTAGTCGACCTTACCTCTTGGTGCACCCGCACTCCCGTGATACTGACTCTTTTGCCTGGACTCTTCCCGGACCAGGGGACGATATAGTTGTGTTACTGCCAGTTATTGCCAGCTTTGTATTGTTGTTTTTTCGACTTTTATTTTCCTTTTTCGTTTGATTTGTTGTATTTTAGATATTGGACTTATAGTTCTGTGAATTTCCGGCCCATTTAGGGTCTTTATATATACAGGTTGGGGTCTGGCCTAACCCCCACCCTCCGGGGTGNNNNCGGACTATTTATTTTTTATTTTTTAATTTTTTTACTATCGGTTATCCTTCCACCACTATTGACATTCGAGAATTGTGTTAGCAGCTTCATGAAAATCCATATAGTGTATTTTTATGTTGCTTGTTGGTTTGGACCACCCACGGTCTTTGGCTTATTTTTATAACAATTTGGATGAGTTTAAGACTGTTGGAAAAATTGAATGAAATTGTAACATTACATTAATTTTAACAACTTGCAAATTTAAGTTGTAACTTGGTGTTACAAACTTAATTCTATTAAATGTTGAATTAATGAAGTTAAATGAAGTGGCTCATCTTATCCTATTTAAAAGAGTTGTCTTCCTTTGAAGAGGACACTCACGAGAAGAAGAAGAAAAATTATTAAAGTCAATTTCCCCATTTTTTCTTTAAGTGTTTTGGTCCAGGCATAATTCCAGTTCGCCGGATTTGTTTCGGTTTTTCCGTTGTATCCTGGGAAATAGACGCTCATACGGGGCGAATCTGTTTTAAGGACACTGTGTTCTCTGAGGCCTCGGTATTTTTATTTTAGCCATCCTATTTTTTATTTTCCCGATAAAGTTCCCTACAATCTTAAAACAGATTCGATTAAAGATGGCTGCTTAGCAAAATACTATTGGCGTTGCTAATACCGGTGGAGCTACTACAATTTCTATTTCTCCTTCTGTTAATGTTTCGGTAAATCATGCTGATAAACCGGAAAAATTTAACGGCTTGAATTTCAAGCGTTGGCAGCAAAAGATGTTGTTTTATCTCACTACGTTGAATCTTGCGAGGTTCTTGACGGAAAATCCTCCAAAGTTGGGGGAAAATCCGGATATTCAAGCTGTGAGTGCGCTTGATGCATGGAATCATTCAAATTTCTTGTGTAGAAATTATGTAATGAATTGCTTGGCGATACGCTGTACAACGTGTACAGTTCTATCAAAACAGCGAAGGAGCTGTGGGAGTCTTTGGATAAAAAATACAAAACCGAAGACGCTGGAGCCAAGAAGTTTCTTGTAGGCCGGTTTCTGGACTACAAGATGGTTGACTCGAAGACTGTAATTAGTCAAGTGCAAGAGCTTCAAATAATCTTGCATGACATCCATTCCGAGGGAATGGTAGTGAATGAAACTTTCCAGGTGGCTGCCATAATTGCAAAGCTTCCACCGAGTTGGAAAGATTTTAAAAATTATTTATTACATAAGAAAAAAGAGATGACTGTTGAAGAGCTCGTTGTTAGACTTCGAATTGAAGAAGACAACAAGGGCTACGATAATAAATTGGTTAATCCTTCTTTTGCCAAGGTTAATGTCGTCGAGCACGGTGAAAGCTCACGTAAAAATAATAAGAAAAAATGTGGCAATACTGGGAAAGCAGTAATGGGGCCAAAGAAACAAATTTTCAAGAAAAAATTTTCTGGAAATTGTTATAATTGTAACAAATCTGGCCATAAGGCATCTGATTGCAGGTTGCCAAAGAAAAATCAAGAAGCCCACATGGTGGAAAACCTGGCCAAAGATGTTGATGAGATGCACCTCGCAGCAGTTATATCCGAGGTAAATCTGTTGGGCTCAAATCCACATGAATGGTGGATTGACACGGGTGCTACCCGTCATGTTTGCTCAAACAAGGAACTGTTTAATGTCCTTGACGAGACGGTGGATGGAGAAAAGCTCTTCATGGGAAATTCTGCCACTTCTGACATCAAAGGAGTGGGAAAAGTGGTACTGAAGATGACATCTGCAAAAGAATTGACTCTTAATAATGTACTTTATGTACCAGAAATTCGTAAGAACTTAGTGTCTGGTTCTTTATTGATTAAACATGGTTTTCGTGTAGTGTTTGAATCTGATAAGGTCATTTTGACCAAAAATGGAGCATTTATAGGGAAGGGTTATGAATGTAATGGGCTGTTTAAGCTCAATGTGATGACAATTAATAAAAATGTTAATCCTTCTGTTTATATGCTTGAGTCTTCCATTGTGTGGCATGGTAGACTGGGACATGTCAATTATAATACCCTGCGCAGGATAATAAAATTGAAAAGCATACCTATGTTCCATATTGATTCAAAACATAAGTGTGAAACTTGTGTTGAAGCGAAACTGACACGATTACCATTTCAATCTATTGAAAGAAATAGTGAACCACTTGATTTAATTCACACTGATGTATGTGATTTAAAAGCTGTCACGACACGTGGTGGAAATAAATATTTCATTACTTTTGTAGATGATAGCACTAAATTTTGTTATGTGTATCTTCTCAAAAGTAAAAATGAAGCGATAGAGAAATTTATTCTCTATAAAAATGAAGTTGAAAATCAACTAAATAAAAAGATTAAGGTGATAAGAAGTGACAGAGGAGGTGAATATGAGTCACCTTTTGCTGAATTCTGTGCCCAACATGGGATAAGACATGAAATGACAGCACCTTATTCACCGCAACAAAATGGGATTGCGGAGAGAAAAAAATCGTACTTTAAAAGAAATGATGAACTCAATGTTGTTAAGTTCTGGACTTTCACAGGCCTCGGTATTTTTATTTTAGCCATCCTATTTTTAATTTTCCCGATAAAGTTCCCTACAAAGACTTACATACAGAACAAATGAGAGAGCTAAAGCTTATAATTTAAGATCATAAAAGATTTTAAAAATAAATTTCAAGTTATAGAGTCCACAAAAAGAGTATAAAGATAACAATGGTGCACTGTAATTTATCTTAATCCTAACGTGCACTTGAGGTAATCTTTGCTCTATAAAGGTTTGTAACATGTGATACACCAAAAGGAAAACAATCAAAGCTTTTGTTTTGTGTAATTAACATGTGATGCGTTAATTGAGCAAATACATTATAGTTAGTCTTCCTATATGATAGGGATTATAGTGTTGACCCGAGCTAACTGGGCCTAGACCCATGGAATAAGGGCCATGTGATTAGGGTCGAAGGCGGCTCGACCGAACCA